GCTTGACACACACGCTGGCTTTAATGTGGATCAGACGGTATCATCCTCTCGGCAGTGTGTGTGTGTGTGTGCTCTCCACTCATGTTTATCTGCCAACATAATGACACACTGTAAAACGCACGACTGACACTGAGAGCACTGACCTCAGGCCTGTTATCGTGTCTTATGACCCCTAGAGCAAACGCGATTTACTGACACACTGAGACATGATGAGAGACAGAGAAACCATGAATGAAGCCGTACAGCTCATTCTCAGAAAACTGCGCATTAAAATCTCCCTCAGCACCACCAGAAACTCAATGACACAGAGTTGAAAGTCAGTGTAAAAAGATATTTATCTAGCAAATATCGTTCCATCACACCACATTATGTATGTTACCCTGCCCCGGCGGGCAGCTGCTGCCTCCACCTATCCGCCGGCCGCAGTGCCCCAGCCGTTTTTTTACATTTAAAATACATTTAAATTGTATGTAATATAATTATGACAGGGACACACCGGATTATTATAGATTATTAAAACTGAAACAATAAATAGACATTTACTTGAAACGAAATAATAATTAACTGATTTTTTTTTTATTAAAAATTATTTTATTTTAATAAGTTGCCAATGTAGAATTTCTCATTTTGTTTATCTTAACTTGAATGACTAAAATAAATAAAACTAGACAAATTTTTTTAAATAAATAAATAATAATAATAATAATAATAATAATAATACCTCTCGGCAGTGTGTGTGTGTGTGTGCTCTCCACTCATGTTTATCTGCCAACATAATGACACACTGTAAAACGCACGACTGACACAGAGCACTGACCTCAGGCCTGTTATCGTGTCTTATGACCCCTAGAGCAAACGCGATTTACTGACACACTGAGACATGATGAGAGACAGAGAAACCATGAATGAAGCCGTACAGCTCATTCTCAGAAAACTGCGCATTAAAATCTCCCTCAGCACCACCAGAAACTCAATGACACAGAGTTGAAAGTCAGTGTAAAAAGATATTTATCTAGCAAATATCGTTCCATCACACCACATTATGTATGTTAATATCACTGTTCTTTGTTCCAAGCAAAATACTTTTAAATATTTTTAATGAGGGAAATGTCACAGTATAACAGAATTTTCTTAGAAAATACATAAAACTACATATAAATATATTATTTAAATTGTATTTAATATAATTATGACAGGGACACACCCGGATTATTATAGATGATTAAAACTGAAACAATAAATATACATTTACTTATAATAATAATAAAAAAATAATAATTAACAGATTTTTTTTTATTAAAAATTATTTTATTTTAATAGGTTTGCCAATGATACAAATTCCCCGTGAAAGCCAAACGACAGAATGTCAGAGCAATTACACTTGACAGCTGCATATCTATAAGAAACTGAGCCCTTAAAGGACAAAAAGGATATCAGACTCCGTTCCCTTTCAGTCGGTCACTCCGAGTCACGTCGGTGTCCGACGAATTGGGATCTCGCTTAGAGAGAACAATCCAATTCGAGTGTAAACTAAACGAGCCAATGCATATTGGCATGCGATGATTGCATCCAGCTGCCGCTGATCACAGCGTGAGCATAAAAAGGCAGCCGGTGCAACGCATATTCAAAGAGCGTACCAGCGATATCTTTCGGTGCTCCTCCTGACGACCAGATGTCGATCACTGCATCTGAGGGAGAGCTCTCTGGAGTGGATGATTCGGCTGCGCTGCCGCCCTCCGGGACGGTGGCAAGGCCTGAATCGGATCCAGAGATGTCTGCTATGCTTTCCCGGGCCGCCCGCCTCCACCCAGCAGGGCGAACTGTCTGTAGATCTGTAGGTACTCGTCTGGCCTATCCGGCGATGCTTATACAGCCTGTGGAGAAGCTGCCTCCTCCTTGCACGCTACGGCGTTACTGCAGGTTCATCAGGCCAAGGCACTGAGGGACCTGCACGAGGGTGGTCATGATCCAGAAGTTCTGAAAGAGCTGCGAACCGCTACTGAGCTTGCGCTCCGAGCGACGAAGGTCACCGTGAGTTCTCTGGGTCGTGCAATGTCCACACTTGTGGTCCAGGAGTGCCATTCTCTGGCTGTGTCTGGTTGATATGAGGGACGTCGACAAAGTTCGGCCCAACCCCTGAATACAAATTCCCTGTGAAAGCCAAACGACAGAATGTCAGAGCAATTTCGCTTGACAGCTGCATATCTATAAGAAACTGAGCCCCTAAAGGACAAAAAGGATATCAGACTCCGTTCCCTTTCAGTCGGTCACTCCGAGTCACGTCGGTGACCGACGAATTGGGATCTCGC